ATTATTAATAATAATAGAAAACTAATCGTATTTTGTAGACATATATTGTACGGGATGATATAAATCATAAAAACAAGAAAAACATAAATATTTGCATTATGAACACATCTTATGGATGAATTTTAGAATGAATTTCATTTTAGAATGGAAAATTTGGTTCTCATCAAAATTGATTCCTGAAAGAAGCTATTTCCATAATATCAATCAAATTTGCTTTCTGCCAGATATTACAAAAAGTTATTGTGTGTGCAACAAAAATTTATTTATAAGATGTTCACAATGCAATAAATATTTATGTTTTTCTTGATTTATATCATTCCGTACGTCTACGAAACACGATTAGTTTTCTATTATTATTAATAAATTAATTAATGTTAATCAAAAGAAGATTACAAACATATAATTTACTTCTTAATCATAATTTCCAATTTCTAATTTCATCAAAAACTGTAATTTTCATTATAATCTTATGTGAATAGTAACAACGATAACGATATGATAATAATAAATATTCCAAATGAGTATTTAATTATCTCTAATATTAATGTAATCTTTAATATTAATTATGTTATTTCATTACAATCAAGAAGTAATTAAAACTAATAACATTAAGTTAAAATAAAATATTTATAAGGATATTGATATTTTCATTCATACAGTACGTTTTTCAAATTATTACAATAATTATTTAAAAAATCGATTTCTTCGAAACTATGGGCCAATGGTTGAAACGGCCGGACACGTATCGTTTTTTTTTTTTTGCTCAAGAACAACCTCATAAAAATCCCCGACTCTGTCACTTGGTGTTCCCCTTGTGAGTTGAAAAGTCATTTACGATTTTGCAATTTTTCCTGGTGTGTGCGTGTGTGTGTGTGTGTGTGTGTACAGTCGTGAACGTCAAAATAACCAAGAAAGTAACACGCAATGCAAAAACAGAGTTGGAAAGCATTAATTGCGCGAACTGTATCACTCACTCTAGTGCAGACGCCCAGCCGTCTAAAGCGGCACTCAGTCCAGTCTATATATCGATGATATTACATTCTTGTTGCAGTCGTACAATTCGCTGACATCATTTTTTTTTATAGACGGGAGACAATTGTTCCGTTTATTTATACTATGGCTGCGTTCGGGAAGCATGCTACCATCGCATCTGTCTTTCCTTGTTTTACATTTATCTAACGATAAAGATAGAATAATGGACATATCCCTGATGAAAATAAATCGTTGAAATCTCTTAAATACTCTATAAAATTATTGAAATGAGAAATTAAAATGACTGAAATATTATTGAAAATATTTCAGCATAAATAATATTTTTAATATGGAAATATTATGAATTTTTATTCATATAATGAATAAAAATTAATTAAAAGTAGTAAAAATATTGAAACTAATACAAATATGTTTAATATTCGTACTGATTTATTCACAGAAATTGGACACTGAATCACACTGAAATTATAATGAAGAGTAATAAAAAATAATAAAAAATAATGCAAATATATTTAATGTTTATACAGATTATTTAGAAAAATTAAACATCGAATTATGTTGAAATACCATAAATCCTAAAAATATTTTTGAAAATACATGAAATATTGTAAATAAAACATAATGTTTTTACTATTTATAGTACACTGAAATATGCTGAAATACTATGAGTTCTAAAATGAAAATATTTTAAAGGTAATGACATTGAAATGAAATATATATTTTAAATATTAGAAAGTGGCTTTAATTATTACAAAGGTTAAATGAAAAGGAGCATACAGCCACACTTTAAATACCTAGCGCCTTCCCGGCCCTAGTGTTAAGATGTTGAACTACTATCCAATATACATTCAATTAAATTGAATTAATATTTCAGAATTAATTGAGAACCGATAAATCATCGGATTCACACAATCATTCTGATAATCCTCCCAAATCCACCCAAATCTTAAAAAACTGTAATAAACTTATTGCGAAAAATATTGCCTCGGCCGGAAGTCTTCGGAGTTCGTCGGTAGTCTAAAGGCTCAGGACGCTCGTACAGAATGCAAGAGATCCGGGTTCGACTCCCGGCCGAGGCAATATTTTTCGCAATAAGTTTATTACAGTTTTTTAAGATTTGGGTGGATTTGGGAGGATTATCAGAATGATTGTGTGAATCCGATGATTTATCGGTTCTCAATTAATTCTGAAATATTAATTCAATTTAATTGAATGTACATTGGATAGTAGTTCAACATCTTAACACTAGGACCGGGAAGGCGCTAGGTATTTAAAGTGTGGCTGTATGCTCCTTTTCATTTAACCTTTGAAATATATATATTATTTTTATTGATTTATTAATAAAAGTTACCAAAAGAGGAACACTAGAATTAAAATATTGAAATTAATAATTGAAAAAAATACTGAAATCTGTTGAAAAAAATCAGTTTATATTATAACAAAAAGCGTTGATTTATCTTTCTAGAATCACCGCTTTCCGATACTAGATGATATCAGTTTTCGCATGTAAAATTTAGTTGCTTTTTTCAGTGTAAGCAGAGCTATATAATCGAAGCTCAGATTATCTGCAGTTATGTTTACATTTGTACATGGTTTTCACATGTAATTTAGTACATGCATTGTATTTTTGTACCAACGAGAAACTAAATACAGTAACATTTTGTATTGAATTATTTATAAAATATTAACAAATTATAATAAAATCTTAATGAAATTATACTAAAAATAGATTCAATTAATATAATTTCAATATGAAATTCAGTAATAATTTTATTATTATTCATTACGTTGATTGGCTGCGGTATAGAGGTTGTCGAATTTCTTTGTCTTGCAGCCAATATTGACACGCTTAAAAAATTTGTCGTGCAATAATAAATGGATGAATGTAATATTAGTCTAAAATGTACGTTTATAGATTTTTTGTCCTGATTAGTCAATTAAACTATCGTTATTATAGCGCTAAGATGCGTATACGGGAGCAGAGCACTTGCACACAGTTCAATTGCATACATCACTCATATCGGTCGGTTCCTAATAAGTTTTAACTGTTTTACCAATGAAATTATATTATTTTAAATTAGCTAATTACTAACAATATAATATATTATAGGACCGTATATGTGTAATAAATTATAGAAATCAAAGTCTTAAACGGCAGGATGTTAATGCTTGTATGATTCTTATGTGAATTTATATACTACGTATGTAGTCCCCAGAAACGCGCGCCGAAATGATTTTTTGGTCTTGAAACGCTAACGCTACTAAATTACCGCAGTAATATCACGAGTTAAATTGACTAGCAATTTAACAAATTTTTGATGTTTATTCGCATCTTCGAAACGATAATAATATTGAATGACATTAAAATCTGTAAATAATTAATTCTTATTGCGAAAAATATTACTTCGGTTGGGAATCGAACCCAGATCTCTTGCATTCCATGAGAGTGTCCTTTAGACTACTGAGGCTTAGCTACCGAGGCCCTTTAGCTAATTACTAATTGGCAATTAGCGGTGTGAACAATTGATATACCCGGTGCATACGATCTCAGTCAAAAAAGTGACATTGATATTACGTTCATTCCACGTTGAACAGATTGATAATCAAATGTACCTATTAAAAAAACTATTTATAACTGCTTAAAATAATGTAAATACATAATAATTACATACATATAAACATTTGACTGCATATATTTGCTAATTATTATTTAATTAAAAAGAAATCGATTCAATAGTAGTTCATTGTCGAAATCAATTAACCAGCCATCAACCTCTTCGATGTAAAAGATTAATATGACCTTCGATGAAGGTCATATTAACATCTCTGACTGGGTACAATTTCAGTAATATTTTATCACTGATCATTATAATTTCAATAATATTTCATCATTCCTTATTATACAAAAAATTGTCATCAGGGATATTCCGGTGTACACTGTCAATACTGGCAGTACTAGAAAATTATTACTATCACATAATGAGATGTAATAGCATCTAATTCTATCAATGATGTTATAAATACAGGGTTGGCAAATAACTTATAACGTCGTTACTGTTACTAGTTACTCTTTTCGATAACGAATGGATAATGACATTACATTTTCTTCTGATTAACGTTCATAATAACGCAGTTATATTTTGAGGGTAATGGTAATGATTTCATTAATTACTTTTATCGTTACTTTATTTCTAGCCACGTAAAAGTTTTATACCGTACACACACATACACACACACACACACACACGCACGCACGCACGCACGCACGCACGCACACATTTATTTTGAGCTTTATTCCTTTACTAAAAGATAGAATTTGACATCTCTTTAGAATATTTATTGCAAAAATCTGTATATTGCCCTAATAAAGCGCCGAGTAGGCAATTCTGGGGCATTCTCTTTAGTACTCGTATGGTAGTTGCGTATAGGAGGAGTTTTTCAGTAGTTAGATGATGACAGGCATCCTCAGGGATACAGCCGCATCGAATTCTGCACACCCAGGGATTTCGGACCCTGGGTGTCTTCCCTTCCATCAGAGGACGTTTCTCTAGGTCGTCCTCGGATGGTTGGGCTTACAAAGATTTTTTTCCTCCTGCAAACAAAAAAAATAATAGCATTTTCCATTGGCAGAATTAATGTGCACTACACTATTCTAATTTGAATGTAAAAATGACATCTCAATTGATGAAATGATAAAATGCTCAAAGCTATTCGATATTTTGTCGAATAACATAATAAAATGTATTGATAATTTCGAGGTACAATCGTTTCTATATTTTTAAACATACATCTTTACATCGATTTGTGTACAACAGCTTTATAGTGCATTGAGTTCTACCAACGAAAAACGCTATAATATTCTATTAGTGTAAAAAAAAGTAACAAAAAAGTAATGACTCGTCGCATTTTGAGTGATGGTAACAGTAATGAGTTACTTTTGCAAATCAATAACGAGTAACGGTAACGAATTACTTTTTAAGAAAAAAAATGGTACCGCTAACGCGCGAGTTATTTTTCTGAGATAATGTTGCCAAACCTGCATAAGTGATAGCCATATTTCCACTGCAATTACTGCGGCTCTCGAGATAAGGCAATTACAGTGCAATATAGCGTTGAATAAAAAAGTGTAAAAAATAGTTATTAGTTCTAGAAATAAATAAATTCTTTAAAAGAATCGCTACTGCTATTGATCAAAATCTATAATTATGCATATTTTGATTTAGTACGTTTGTCCATCGTATCTATTTTATGGTTGCACTGCCAGTAAAAAAAGAATAAACCATAATAGCATTGATAGTACACTCCCCGAGCTTATGTAATGTACGCAAGCATGTCAAATATACGAATAAATCGCCAAACATCCTTCATAAAGCTTCAGAAAAGTTGTTAATCTTCTTCTCCATCGTTGTATCCTGCGAAACGTGATGTACGCTTTCTTCCTTTCTCTTTTTCACATAATTATTCTCTCGGTAAAGCTTTCATAAAGTATGTCATCATATCGATTGGTAGCGGAAACACGATGGTAGAGTTCTTTTCTGCTGATATTGTATTCAGTGTCTAAAATTAAAAGAAAAGAGCAAAAAGTAAAACGGTTCAAAAATATAAGTGAAAACAATGTCTTATTGACAAAATATTCAATCAATAATAATATTGGGTTAGGGAAAAAGTCTTTTTACATGCCAATAGATGAAGATCTGGTCGATTTTTTACGCCACTATTGTGTGATGTATTAGATTATATATCGTTGGAAAAGTACTATTTCATGCATTTTGAAATAGATTGATCATAGTTTTGAACGATACTGACATTCAATCAAATTTGAAAATGAGTGAAAATTAAGAATATTTTTGACATATTTTATTTTTTTATTATATAAAAGGGAAAAACGCTGTGCAAGCTGCAGAAAAAATTTATCGTGTTTATGGAAAGGATGCTCTAACTAGACAAACAACAGCGCCGATTCCAAAATGGAAATTTTGACCCCATAGAGCATGTAATATTGCACTAATATTACAGTGAGATTACAATGTTGCAGTAATATTGCAATTTGAAATGCAATATTACGTAAATACTATTGAGATATTACATTGTAATATTGCAGTAATTTTGTTGAGATATTCCAATGTGATACATTATTCTGCAATATTACAACAATGTCGTCCAAATATTGCAATGAGATATATCGCAATGCAGTGCTACTGCAATATTATCCAAATATTGCAGTATGATACATTGCACTGAAGTATTAACGCGATATCGTTTAAATATTGCAATACGATATATCGCGAAACAGTATTATCTCAAATATTGCAATATAATTTATCGCATTGTAATATTACTGCAATATCATTTAATAATTGCAATGTGTGTATACCACACTATAATAATACAGCAATATCATTCAATTATTACATTGCAGTTATCGTATTGCAGTATTACTGCAAGTGTTGAAATATTACAATGCTTTTTACCACAGTGATATCTTTCTAACATAAGATACAAATAATACTATGTTTTGATTTATTACTAAATAAATATTAAGTGTAAAAAAATTAAAAATATAGATTGAACATAACTCGCAATGGATACTAATAAGCTGTGTTATGTCTTACATCTTATTTATATTTATTACAATTCTATTTAACATTTATTTACAATTTTTTAATTTCTTCAACATTTAATATTTTTGTCCTGTTTTTAATTTTTTTTATTATGACTTTGTCATATATACTTCAGAATGTAATATTAAGCAATAATATTTTAGCAATTAATAAAATTAGATTAATGATTGTAATATATCATAATATTGCAGCAATATTGCAAAAATATTTAAAATATTATAAATATTTCTGCAATGAATTTTTTGTAGACAAGTTAATTTTTGTAGCGATATTTATACGACATTATTAGTATATTACTGTGTAATATTATTGGAATATTACTACAGTATATAAAAATACTATTGCGATATTGCAAAATATTAACATAATAGAAATATTGCTTAATATTGTAATAATATTACAAAAACATCGCAGAAATGTTTCTGTAATGAATTTGTCTTGGAAATTTAATATTGTAATGATATTTATACAATATTACTGACATATTTTTATGCAATATTACAGCAAATTTGTAATATTACTGCAAGATTACTATTATATAATCTTACATGCTGTGTGAGATGTATATTATTCTGATCGGTCTATTGTGGAAAATGTCGATGAAATCTTTCAAAAAATTGAAAAAAATTGTCATGTGAGCAACTATGACATAGTTAAGGAGCTAATCATAAAACTGTAAACGGAGCACTTACGTAAGGTTGAATACACAAAGCTCGATATTTGGATTCCACATAATTTGACGGTAAAAAATTTAATGATTCAAATTTCTATTTGTAAATCGCTACTGAAATAAAACGAAATTAAGTTTTTTCTGAGAAGATTGATAATTATCGATGAAAAGTGGACATATGATAATAATGTTCGAAAAATATCGTGGTTGAAACAAAATGAGGCATCACAAACAATCGCAAAGTCTAGATTGACGCCAAAGTAGGTGATGCTGTGTGTCTGGTGGAACTGAGAAGGAGTCGTCATTATGAACTGTTGCCGCCATGCAAAACGATTGAGTCCGATCTTTATCAAAAACTAATGCGATTAGAGCAATTCAGGAAAAGCGGCCAGAACTGATCAGTAGAAAGACATTGTCTTTCATTCGTTCAAATGACAACGTTAGGTCACATACGTTTTTAATGACTCGACAAAAATTGAGAGAACTTTTCTTTGCTGGAAAGTTTTGATGAATCCATCATAGTTCTGACCTTGCACCGTCTGATTACTAATTGTTTCAGTCTTTGCAAAACTTCTTTAATAAAGTAAATTTGATTTCAAAAAAGACTCGTAAAAATCATTTATCTCTTCTATCGAGAAATCACAGAAGTTCTATATCGATGGAATAATGGCTCTACCTGAAAAATGGCAAAAGATCATCGATCAAAACGGCAAATATTTGGTTTAATAAGAAATTTGTAAACAATTTAAAAAATACTTGTTTCAATTATCCAACTTGTAAAAAGACTTTTTCTCTAATTATATTGACAAAGATAATTATATGCACACACACGTAATAAAAGTATGCATTATTTGTAACGCGATTATTTTTTATTTTTACTTTGTTGTTATGATAAGTTGGTAATGATAATTTACGAATTTTTTGTGATTATATTTGTAATTAATTGAAAAAGTCACTCATTGTCAATCTCATTGCTGAAAAAAAGTATAAATCTTTTATTTATAACTAATTACTTTTATTCATTACTATTGTAAGTATAGAAAAATAATTCCTTGATACGTTACAGGTTACTTAATACTTTTTTAGTAAATAAATAACGCAAAGTGACAAATTACTCTTCAAAGTGACTTTCTTAATCTTAATGCAACTTCAGCGTTTAGTTATCATTATAGTCCTAAAAATTGCAATGTCATTATCAAAGTGTTATCATAAAAAATAACACAGTAATTATTTACATTAGAGCACCAACAATGACCTTGATCTTGACATATATTATGAACTTGAGTAACCTTCAATAAGTTTTAACTATTGCTCGTTATTTGTTAAAAAGTTATTATAAAAAAAATGTTTTAAATAATGTCTTGTTTTAATTATATAAAATAAATTTTCTGTTTTAAAATATATTTTACGACTTTCCACGCGAAGCGAGTTCCACTCCGTCCCCCCCCCTCTACCAAGGGGCATCTGACTTTTCACGCAGAGCGAGTTCTACTTTACCTCCCTTTTGTCTAGTGAATTACTATCCCCTGTCAAAGGGTGCACAACTGAATAGTTTGTGAATACGCGAAACGAGTTCTACTTTATCTCCTCCCTTACCAAAAAGCATACAACTTTTCATTCAGGTAGATCTTGCTTTTCATGGAAAGTCAAACGCCTCTTGGCAGGAGAGAAGGGGTGGAAATCACTTTGTGGAAAGTCGTATTTCTTTAATCGATCTATTCCGTATCTCTCTCCCTGCTTAGAGTTATCTGATTTTTCATGTAAAGAAGGGAAATAATTACTAACTTTGACTGTTAATAACTTTATAACAAATATCATATAACGGCTAAAACTTGTTGGAGGTCACTCAGGATCATGACAACATATGTCAAAGTCAATGGAAGAGGGAATTCCTTAGAGATCCTAAAAGTAGAGATCGACTAATGCCGACTCGATCCATGATTGGCTCTGCCATGTTATTGTGAAATCGGATGTGAGAGTGAGAGAAGCGAATATGAAAGTAAGAAAAGAAAATAACATTAGTAACTCTTTCATTCCCTGCACGCATGTACACAAAAAATTGATTAACAATGGCTAATAAAGGATATCTCACAATTGTTTGGAATCGATTTGATCCTCCATGAAATATTTAAAGTTTGTTTAACACAAAACTTTAAGAAACAAGTATTTTTTATACATTCGCTAACTCATGGTGAAATATTTCTTTTTAGCTATTGTTAATCAATGTTTTGTGTACATGCATGCAGGGAATGAAAAAGTTATTATGCTGTTATTTTACCGTTACAACGCCGCGCCGTTATTACTTGATATATTTTGTCAAAGTCATCATCCTGAGTAACTTTAAACAAGTTTCAGCCGTCGCACGTTATTCATTAAAAATTTTATATATTAACAAAAAATGTTTGAAAAAATAACGTCTTATTTTTGCTATACATAATATTAAAAACTATTCTGTACTCTTCTTTGCGAAATGGCTTTCCATGCGAAGAGAGATCAACCACCCCCCTGCGACTTTCCACGAAAAGCGAGTTTCACCCCATCTCCCCCCCTCCCTGTCATAGAGCATCCGACTTTCCAAGCAAAGTAAGTTTTACCCCACCTGCCCCCCTGTTTCGATGCGCACAACTTTCAACGCAAAGGGAGGTCTACCCTATCTCCCCCCCTGCCTAGGGGTGTACGACTTTCCGCGCGAAGTGAATTTCATTCCACCTCTCCTTTGCCAAGATTGCGTTCAAGAACTGCCCAGATAACTTTAAGCTATAGATTACGTTATGTATATTATAACAAAAATGCATACTAGTTATCTAGGCATAATTATTGAATGTAGCTCTACTTTTTACGCGAAACGGGTTTCGCTTTATTTCTCCCAATTGCCAAGGGGAGGGCGTTTTTCATGCGAAGCAAAATCTATCCATCCTTCTCTTTATCTCAAGTAAGAAAGGATATAGAATAGTTTTTAGTATTAGAGGAAAGGCCTCTATTATGAAATACTAAACTTATTTTGGGTAAATGCTAGAAATCTATGAGCAGAATTTAAAAAAATGATAGGTTACTTTTAAGGGAATTTAATAAACTTTAAGATAATACCATGTAAAACTTATAATTTAAACTCTATTTTTTTTTGAAAATTAAAGAAATGTAAAAAGTGAGCAAATCGCAAAGTCAAAAAGTTATGCTCCTATAAATAAGCGTGACGCTCCGAGAAATTGATAATAAAACGCAAAGTACATCAATATTATAATTAAAAAACTTTGTTTAATGTTTCT